AAAAGATATTTGTTAACTACAAAAAAAAAAGTACATCAATAATAAAGCATATCTTTTCGAAACTTCACAACAGTGGGAACCACGAAAAGATCCTACAAGCTTTCAGAGATCCTACATCTATTGGAAAAATAGGTCACAATAGATGAAGAATCAGAATGATTTTGAGCTTTCAGCAGCCACATTATAAGGTAGACAACGTTGGAACAAAACTATCAAAATTCTGAAGGAAAATGATTCCCAGTTTGAATGTTATACACAGGCCATACTATTAATCAAGATTAAGAGGAAAATAAAGGCATTTTTAAAAATTCAAGATATCAAATAACTTGGCTCCCCTTCACCCTTTCTTCAGCAAAATGTGGGAGTAAACCAAGAAAGAAGATACAGGACAGAAGAAAGAGAAGATCCAACACAGGAGAAAAGAAGAGACTACCAGATGGATCACTGGGCACCATGAGGACACAGAAACCACTCCAGGTGGGAGCACTGTGTTGGGGAGGGACTTTCTTCAATATGATGACACTGACAGAATAAGTGATGTGAAAGAAAATAGGAAATTGGGTAGAAAATCCTGAGTTGAGTTAGTGATAAGGACACAGAAAACCATATAAACAACGTTCTAAACTGAAAACTCAGTAACATTAATTCAAATGTTATTTGAAAAATGACAGGAAAACACCAACCAGCTAAGAATTGAGAATGGTTACCTCTGAGAAGGGGAAATGAAGGTGGGAACTGAAAATTACTGTTTGAACAATCCCTGACAAACTACTTAACTCATTAAGCTGTAACTTTGAAAAAAAGAAGAAAATATTTTTATATGTGGAAGATAGAGACATAGGTATGTAAGGATTTCCCAAGGACATAAAACCCACCTTAGCAACTAAATCTGACCTCTGGAAACTAAGAAGTCTAACAAAATTGTCCTGCAAAGCAAAAAATAACCCAAACAAATGAGTTTGGGGTGGGGGAAGGCAATAAAGAAGTAGTATTACTCTCATGCTATCATAACTTGCGAAATGCATGACATCAGCAGAAATCCTTATGTTTCTGGGCCTCAGTTCCCCAGTCTGTGAAGTGAGTATAACAGTATCTCTCTCATAGGATTGTTATGAGGCTTAATCAGAAAATGAACATAAAATGTTGGATACAAATATTATTAACTAGTTAACACTTTACTTTTTTTAAATAACTGAAATTATTTTTACATCAAATCATTTTTGTCACAATGATACTAAAGAGTTTGCTTGAATGCTTACCTTGTCTACTCAAACATAAGGCCTCTCTACCCCTTTCACATATGTCACCTAAAAAGGGGGAGAGAAATTGTCTGATTATCCATGAGAAACAGAAATAATTAATTAAAGTTGTTTATAAAGATGCTTATCATACTGAAGAACTGACTGTACCTGAAAAATGACTCAGGCCACCCTGCTTTCTCTTACACTTTTTTGTTGATTATGATCAATCATTCACTCACTAAGCAAGTCAGGAATTAGAATGAAAACGTTGTACCAACTGTATATTAACTCAGTAATATGAGGCAAGCATATCTCCATTTTAAAATGAGTAAAGTCTCTAACTATGCATAGATGGTGTTCTCCAAGTTCAGTTATACTTTGTTATAAAACTTGAGAAATATTTTTCCAAAGAAACAAAATTATGAGATAAGGTTGAGATCGTGGGCAATAAACAAAGGCCAACTTAACCCATAAGTACCCAAGAACCATGGAGAAGAAATGAATAAATATTACCATATTAGATAACTTTCAACCACTTCTTTGTGCTCCCACAACTAACAAAAAAAAATCTATTTAAGATTAAGGATTGTGTCACACTTTTTATTCATCTTTGTATCCTTGTAAACATAAACAGTATATAACAGAGTAACTGCCTTCTATCAAAAGCTTAAAAGATTTACTTAATAAATGAAAAACTAGGATTATGAATACTGTTTAAACCATACTCTTTCTATGGAGAAATGCATTATAATTTCTAATTAAGGAAATAATTAAAGGAACTCACAACAAGACCAGAGTTTGAACACCAAGAACAATAAAGCTTGGGCAGATACTCCATCTATATAACAACCACTCTTCCTAGAAATTACATTCTGGTCATAGATAACTCATATTGTTTCTAAATATGTATAAATCACTAAGTTGAGTTTTCATTATATAAAACTTGACCTCCAAAATTTCCTTGGCTTCTTTCCCTTTATCAATACCTTAAATTAATATAAAAGCCATAATGTTTTATCTAGGAATATATTTTTCCCCAGTTTTATTGAGACATAATTGACACATAACATCGTATTAGTTTAAGGTGTACGCTATAATGATTTGACATATGTATATATTGCAAAACGGTTACCACACTAAGTTAACATCTATCACCTCACAAGTTAGGATATTTTTTTCTTCCTTGTGATGAGAACTTTTAAAGTCTACTCTCAGAAATTTTCAAACATACAATACAGTATTGTTAACCACAGTCACCATGCTGAACATTACATTCCCAGAACTTACTTATCTTATAACTGAAGTTTGTACCTCCTTTTGACTACCATTACCCATTTCCCCCAATCCCTACCCCTGCCTCTGGCAACCACCAATATGTTCTCTGTTTCTTTGCCTTTTGTTTTGTGAGATAATACAATATTTGTCTTCTTCTGTCTGACTTATTTCACTTAGCATAATGCCCTCAAGGTCCATGTTGTCTCAAATGACAGGGTTTCCTTCTTTTTTATGGCTGAATAATACCGTGTGTGTGTGTGTGTGTGTGTGTGTGTGTGTGTGTGTGTGTGTGTGTGCACACACAAGTGTGTGCACACACAAGTGTGTATATATCTCACATTCTCATTATCCAATCATTCATCGATGGTCACTTAGATTGTTTCCACATTTTGGGTATTTAAATAATGCTGCAATGAACATGGGAGTACAGATAATCTCTTTAAAAGAGTGATTTCATTTCCTTCAGATATATATCCAAAAGTGGAATTGCTGGATCATATAGTTCTTTTTTTAATTTTTTGAGGTTGATTTTTTTTTAATTAGTAATTTCTGTACTATTTCTAGTTAGTACAGGTTATCAACTGCAAACTTAATATGATGGCCCCAAAAATGCAAAAATATACACATATATATATATAAAATATAAATATACACATATATGTATGTATGAATATGTATGTGTGTGTGTGTGTGTATTTATTTATTTATAGAGAGAAAGAGAGTCAATATTCAGACAAAATTCCTGGTTAAAATCCAATATTTCTCCAGCTCAAATGCAACTACCTATACTTACATATTCCAGAAGTGAAGTAGATAAAATTACCCAACACAACATAAAATATTTTAGGCACCAAAATAATTGCAAAATAACTGAAAATTATAGGTTAAAATTATAGAATTTAGTAAACAATATATCCAATAGTCCCAGTGATATTGACTTTTATATTTTAAAACCTGAAACAAAAAAAAAACTTTTAATGTTTCATTACTTACAGAAAACAATTCAATCTCTATAATATATCATTAAAAAATAAAGATTCATTTATCCCAGAGAGACAGAGCTCACTTCAAGCTTTATGGAAAGAAAATTCATATGGATTGTCACCTTAAATGACAAGGTGTGAAGAGCACTTAAGCTCTAATCCAGTGTTAGAAATTACTCCATAAATAGTATTTCTCTTGAGTACCCTCTCTCCTTTGAAATTCTATACCCCCAATAAAACTAATTCTTTATAATGATTTAATTTGATGTAAATTTATGAAAGCTGTATAAATATTTATGGGAATGAATGTGGGAGGCTGAATAGTTGATGATGACTTGTGAGCAACAGAAGAGAAATGGGTAGTGTCAGCAGAGGAGACAAAAGTATCTCTAAACCACCTACTACATTAACACAGTATCTTCTACACAAAAATTTGTAAGTGAAGTCTTTATGTGATATTTTTTAAAACTATTTTTACATCCAAGAAATTTAATCATAATTAAATCTATTTTGAATTTTGACACAAGAATTTTTGTAGAAAGTGCAATGCTCAATTTGTCTCCATTAGTAAACTATGTAATAAAGCATGAAACTCACCAAGGAAAGCAAAGCAGGAACCTTAATAAAGGCAGAGATCTATCCTTGTGTGAAAGTAAACATCATCAATTTGAATCATATTACAAACTTTTAGAAGTGGGTGGGTAGAAGAATAAGAAAGCATAAGAAATTGACACTATTTCTGTGGTGTAGGTTTATATTTCAATGTTTTTACTCCTAAAAGTAAATGAAGTAAATTGAGATCTCCACCTGGCTTGCCAGAAGGGCTGTCATGAGTACTAATATTCTTAGGTTAACATTTTAATAAACTTTTCTCTCATTTCTTCCAAGTATCTTAGATAACATAAAAAACTATGTAAATGATATAGCTACTTTGAAAAGACAGTTTGGCAGTTCTTCAAAAAGTTAAACATAAAGTTACCATATAACCTAGTAATTCCATCCCAGGCATATACCTGGGAAAACTGAAAACAGATGAGTATGTCCACCAAAAGACTTGTACGAGTACACAATGTTCAGAGTAGCATCATTCAAAATAGCCAAAAGGTGGAAACAACCCAAATGTCCATCAACTGATGAATGGATAAACAAAATGTGGTGCATCCTTACAATGAAATATTATTCAGCCATAAAAAATGAAGTACTGATATAAATCACAACATAAACTTTGAAAACATGCTAAATGAAAGAAACCAGACACAGAAGGCAATATATCTTATGATTCTGTTTATATAAAATACTCAGAATAGGCAAATCCATAGAGAAAAAAGTAGACAGTAGCTTCCCGGGGCTGGGGTAAGGGGGAAATGGGGGAGTCTGTTTCATGGATATGGGGTTTCCTTTGGGAGTGATGAAAAAATTCTGGAACTAGATAATGGTGATAGTTATACACATTGTGACTATACGTAACACCACTGAAACTTTTATATGAATTATATTTTAATTAATAAATGAAACTCTACATAACAAAAAAATAGATGTTAACATATTATCAGAGAAAGTTAACTTCCAAAATAAATGTTGATTACTTTGGCACCTCTTTAAAAACCTAACTGTTAATTTGATAAGGGCATTATAAACACTTTCAAAATTAAACCTTTTTCTATAATGCCCAATGCCATCCTTAAGATTTTCTATTTGTTAGGAATTTTCATAAAACTCTTAGCACCAACTTTGCAATGCTTAGTCTGCCAGGGCAGGAATCAATTTTATATAATATCTAAACAATTCATGTGAATTTTAAAATGGGGAGAATTATTTTATGAAATTTGATTTACCGATATCATGTCTTGAATTTTAGTACAGGAGAGGAACATGCTTATTTCTAACAAATGAGATCAGCAAAAGATGCAAAACTTGTTAGATAGCAAAATTTACCTAGTCTGCTTTAGCACTCATAAACCTATCTCTGACATTCAATTTTTAAAATTTTGATATTCAATAGAGAGGCAACATAAAAAAAAAGTTATGCCAAATGCAATAACAGCCCATTAGTTTATTTCACTTCAAACACAATAGAAAATATTACTTCTACTGAACCTGATTCTAGGCAAAGCCAAATTCAGTCACCTAATTACATGCCCAACATTCACTCACAATCTTACTGCCTACTCTTAACAGGGTTTGCTTAGAGTAGGCTCCCAATATACACAAAATTACATAAATTATCAGGTTAAATAACAATTTCAACTTAAAATAATAACATCTATTTGGGGTCTGCACAAACCAGACAGTGAACTAGATGCTTTACACATATTATTACTCACTTCAGGCTCACAACACATTACACAAGTTAAATAACTTGCCTAAGGTCACAATACTAGTACACTGCAAAGCCAGGATTCAAACCGAGGTCTTTCAGACATACAATCATTTTTGCATTCCAAGTGTGGGCTACAGAGGAACATATTTTCAGTTTAATTGGCAAACATTCATATTCTCTCTGAATGCAGCTTCTAAATGTTTAGGGAATGAGAAAGGAAAAGAGTACTTGAAAAGAATATTACCAAGGAATGAAGTGAGGTGTGTGGGGAAACATGCAATGCATTGTGTGCCTACTATGTGCCACGTGCTGTGATGGCTATTTTGACTGCACAAACACTTAATTCTTACAACAATCCTGGAAGGTAAATATTGGTACCTCCTTTTTTATATAAAAGGAAACTGAAACTTAGAAGATTCAAGAAGATTCAAGATCACAGAAATTGTAAGGCACAAAGTTAGGATCAGAAATCAAATTCAGTCCATCAA